TTCCCCTCCCCAAACCCTGGACACTCGTGGCCTGGGACTCACATGGCGAAGGTCCCGCATGACCCGGAGCAGTAGTTCATGGTCACCAACTTGCTGCAGCCGGCATGTGAAATTTCCTTGGTAACGGGGATGGTGGAGCAGGGGATCCTGGTCTCGTTGCGAAGGATGCCTGGAGGTGAGGAGGTGGAGGCTCTGAGGCGGGGTCTCCACACTTCAAGGGGGCCCACCAGGTCTCCCTCACTGCTTCCTCTCCCGTCCCCAAGTGCACCTCGCCTGGCCCTCAGGCACCCTCTAGCGAGCTGGGCACCCCTGGTGATGCCCTCAAACTCCTCACTCTGCTGAGAGAGGCACAGAGGGGACAGGGCTCCCAGGGCACCATCCCGTCGTGCCTTCCTCCCCACAGGGCGGCCTGGGTTTAGCCCACCCACCAGGCCCTGCCTCGGACCCCGGGAGCAGCCCACCGAGCGTTCTGTACTCACACTTCCTGCAGCAGCCGTTGGGCATGAGCGTGATGGAGCCCTGGAGGAAAGGAGGATGAGCATGCGCCCCCGACCTTCCCCCACCTCTGAGCACCCCCTCCAGCCACAGACATGGGAAGGGGCAGTTTCTGCAGAAGGGGTCCAGGCCAGAGGCCACTGTCCCAGCACTGGGGCTTCAGCCCCATGGTAAAATAGGGGACGCCCACTCCCCGGGCTCACTCACCGGGAGGCAGGCGCTGGCGTCAAATTCGGGGCAGGTGATGTTGGAGATGGACGAGATGAACTGGTTGTTGGTTTTCATGCAGCTGAAGAAGGTGCAGTTGTTGGTGGGGTCCCTCTTTCTGTCCCCGGGCTGTGGGGCAGAGGACAGCGTGGTGAGGGCCCGCAGGAGGCCCACCCTCGGAGGCCCACCCAGAAAGACAGACTGGAAACACCTGGAAGGTGCCTGACCAGCCAGCCAACTGTGGCTTCTCGTGCATGAGGCCCAGCCTGCAGGCCCAGAGTCACTGGGCAGGTGACACCCAGGAAGGGCCCAGGGGCAGCCACCAGCCTGTAGTCCACAGATGCGTCCTCGTCCTAAACCCCAGAACTCATGGAAGTGACCTTTTCTGGAAAAACAGTCTTTGCAGCCATACTTAAGATCTCGAGATGAGATCATCCTGGACTACTGGAGGGGGCCCGAAATCTAATGACAAGTGTCCTTGTAAGACACAGAGAGACAGAGGAGAAGGTCGTGTGAGGACAGGCAGAGACTAGAGTGTTGCAGCCACAAGCCCAGGAAGGCCTGGAGCCCAGAAGCTGGAAGAGGCAGGAAGGACCCTCCCTGGGCCAGGTGGAGTGCAGCCCTGCCCACACCTGGGCCTCAGACTCCAGCCTCCAGGATGGGGGGGGAGGAGGGGTGGGGGAATCCTGCCTGTTGTTTCAGCCCCCAGTCTGTGGTCCCTTCTCACAGCCACCCAGGACAGTGGCACAGGGGACGCAGCCAGGGGCAGCGGGAGTTGTCCCAGGCCGTGCCCTCAGCCCCAGGCCGGCCCTGCCATGGCGTGAGCAGCACTGAGCAGGGGACTCGCGCACCTTCAGGATGTACTGCCCGCTGGGCTGGTTGATGATGCAGTGGGTCTGCTCACACTTCATGCAGCACTCCCCAGGGGCCTCCACGAGCCCATAGCCCTACGAGACACAGGGTTCAGGTTGGCGAGGGAAAGAGGACAGGAGCTGTTGGGGCCGGAACTCCGCTCATGGAGGGAAGTGATGGGGCGGCGGCTGCTTACGGGGCTGCAGGACGTGCTGCAGGGCACGTGGGTGCAGGAGATGACGTTGAGCTGCGTGGTGCTGTTCCTGCTGCCGGTGCACACGCAGTCCTGGCACTTGGAGGAGTAGACTGGAGAGCCGGGCTGAGGGCACAGGGAGGTGCGAGTGAGGCCGGGCACCCTCCACGCCTCCCACCCGCCTCAGGGAGCGTGGCTCCCACCTGGGAGGGCTCTGACAGTAGGAGAAAGGAGCTGGGTGCCCCGGGCCTGGCTCGCACAGCAGAGCCCCCAGAGCAGGCCCTAACCGGCACCATATCCAGCCAGAGAGCCTGCCCAGGACCCCACCCCTCCTCCCCCACCTCCACCTTCCATTGGCCCAGCCCAGGGCTCACCTGGTACTCAGCATTCCCAACAACACACACGTTCTTGGGCACTGGGGAGAAAGAACAGGGACAGCAGTCAGACTGCCCTGCCAGGCACAAGACGCGCACAGCCGGTGTACCGAGTGGGAGCTCAGGGCCGGGGGCGGGGAGGGGTGCATCGGCCATGCAGAGTCAGGGCCCCAGATGGGAGCCACTTCACCACACTGCCCCACTCAAGCCACAGTCAGCCCCAGCCCCACAGCCGCCTCCCGCCCTGGCTCCAGGGCCCCACTCACCACACGAGTAGAGGGGGCAGCACCTTCCGGGGACCATCTCGCTCTTCAGCTCGAATCCCAGCGAGCACACAGGGGGCTTCTCTCTGCAGAGGCCGGCATTGCACTCTGAGGAGGGGAGGAAACGTGGTAATGAGCACGGCTCCTTGAAAGCTGTGCCCCGCCACTGCCCGCAGCACAGGGTGGGGCCTGGGGTGTCTGTGGGTACGAGCACGGCCCCCAGGCCCAAGCACAGCCTCCTCCTACAACACCTACTCTCAGCAGGATACACCCTGCGGCCGCTGCTCCCCAGCTCCCCAGGGAGGTGAAATCACCACGGAGAATTTACACGGTGAATCCGGGGGCCCTAGGAGGGGACAGGTGCCCTGGGGCCCAGGCTC